CCCCCCCAGCCACATCTAAAACACCCTCCGCACCGGGGGTTTCCCCAGGCGCATGCGGAGGCTGCAGGTTCCTTCTTCCCTCTCGTATTCCCTTATATGTCCCGGGCAACGAAAGCCACGACTGCAGCAACGCCCGCGCTGAGCAGCAGTGCTGGCAGCCCGGCTCTTCCCTCTCCTGCTTCAGGTGGTTTCTGTGCAGCGGCTCCTCACCAGCGTGGGAGAAGGACAGACATCCAACCGTGCTCTTGGGGGGGGTTCAGGCGACACACAGAGATGGTAACGGGCCCTTTCTCTCCGCCCTCCCCAGAGGCTCAGATCACCATGATGCAGCAGCGGATTGACCGCCTGGCTCTGCTCAACGAGAAGCAAGCCGCAGACCAGCTGGAGCCCAAGGAGATGGAGGAGCTGAGGGAGAAGAACGAGAGGTAATCCTCCGGGGACGTCTGCTCCCTCCCACCAGGCTGGTCCTTGTCACTCCCACGTCCCCGGGCTCCGTGCTGTCTGTCTCTTCCCCAGCAAGGCACAGAAGAGGGGCGAGGGAAAACCTTCCTGCAGTTCTCTCCCAGCTCCTCTGCAGCTGCACCCCAGGGAGGACATGGCTTTGGCCAGAATCACAGAAGGATTTGGGTGGGCAGGGGCCGTCAAAGCTCATCCAGCCCAACCCCTGCCATCTTTTAAATACCTCCAGGGACGAGGACTCGACCACCTCCCTGGGCAAAGCCTCTTCTTCCTCATGCCCAGCCTGGATCCCCCCTCCTTCAGTTTAAATCCATCCCCCCTTGTCCTGTTGCTACAGGCCCTGCTAACAAGTCCGTCCCCCCCTTTCTTACCAGCCCCCGTTAAGCCCTGCAAGGCCGCACTCAGCTCTGCCCGCAGCCTCCTCTTCTCCAGGCTGAGCACCCCCAACTCTCCCAGCCTTTCCCCAGCGCAGAGGGGCTCCAGCCCTCGCACCATTCCCGTGGCCTCCTCCGGCCCCGCTCCAGCAGGTCCCTGTCTGTCCTGCGCTGGGGACCCCCGAGCTGGACGCAGGGCTCCGGGGGGGTCTGACCGGAGCGGGGCAGAGGGGCAGAATCCCCTCCCTCGCCCCGCTGGCCATGCTTCAGGGAGTTGCTGGGCACATTGCACCTCGTGGTCGGGGCGATTACAGCCCGTAGCCCTTTTTTTATCACAGCAGGCAGGGAGCCGGTCCCACACCCCGCAGCGTGTTCGGACAGCCCACTCCTCACCCAGACCCCCGCATGGGCACAGCCGTCCCTGCTGTGGGGAGAGGGGTGCTGCCCGTGTGGGTCTCACCTGCCTCCAGCAGAGCCTGCGTGGTCTTCCCAGCTCTGGGATAGGCTCTGCATCACCAAAAGCTTTCAGCTTTACTGGAGCTCCTGACCCCAGCCCCTTCCCCCAGCTGCAAGCCCTCCAGTTTGGTCCAGTTTGATCGGATCTGAACTGGGCTGTCGTGCACTTGAATTCTGTCTCCTGCCGCGCTGCATCCCGGTCTTTGCCCTGTCCCTGTGCAGCGACGTGTTTGCTTGGGAAGGATGCCCAGCGCCTGCTGGCAGGTGCCAGGCCTTTTTTTGTCCTTTCCTCACTTATTTCCCTTTCCAGAGGGGTGGCTGGTGTCCTGCAGCCGCTTCTGCCCTCGGTTCAGAGTGCTTGGGCCCATGCAAAGCACAAACGTTGCTTATCTCTGCTCCACTTTGCGACGTACTGGGACCCAGTTTAGAGCTGAATTTATGGCCATTTCTCGCCACGGCACAGAGGTACCTCGGTACCTTCGTTTCCTCAGCAACATCCAGTGGCATCGGACCCCAGCGCTGTCCTCACCCACCTTGGGCTTTCACCCCCTGCTTTAACACCTCCTCTCCCGCAGCCTGATGGTGCGCTTGCACGAGGCCCTCAAGCAGTGCCAGGACCTGAAGACTGAAAAAGGCCAGATGGACCGAAAAATCAACCAGCTCTCCGAGGAGAACGGGGATCTTTCCTTCAAGGTACGGGGTGCTGAGTCCTCTCCGTGTCCCCGCAGCCCAGTCGTTTGTGGGGAGAACTCGACAGCAGTGCTGGACGCTGGCCCACTTAGCGCTCTGGCCTCGTGTGACCTTGATCTGGTGACCGAGCCTGCTCTGGGCTCCGGATCCTGATCCAAAGGGGAACCGTGGTGGGGGAGACAGGGGCTGGGTGGAGTTGCCTGCATGCGGTGCTGTGGGTGCGGGGCGTGAGCACCCAGGACCTGGGATACCCGTGGGTACCGCAGGGCTCAGCGCTCGGGAGAGGGGAGCTGAGCAGAGCCCTGGGCAGCGTGGGCACTCTCTGACCTTCCTCTGGGACCGGGTTTTCCCTCGGCAGGACCCCCAGCCACTTGGTCCAGCTGCAGGAAGCCCTGAACGAGCTCTCGGAGGAGCACAACGCGGCCCTGGCGCAGTCGCAGGAAAAGCAAGGGCAGCTGGAGAGCGAGCTGCGTGCTGCCCTGCAGGAGAAGGTGAGGGGGTCCCGGGCTGGGGGACGCGTGCCGGCATGCAGCAGCCTCCTGGGGCTGGCTCGTGCCCTGCCGGCTCTGCGGGGAGCGGGCAGAGCCTCCTGCCCGCCCATGCCGGCACACGGGGAGAGGCTGTGCGACAGCCGGCTCCCGCCAGGAGGCTCCCCCT